CCGGAAGTCCTGTGGCTCAGAGTGGTAGAGCACTAACCTTGAGCAAAAGAGCTCAGGGACAGCAGTGCCCAGGCCCAGAGTTCAAGCCCCATGTCTGAAGGAAAGACAAAAGCTATGATGAGACCTCATGTGTTTTCTGAAGAGGCAGGTGTTAATCTAGACCAGAGCATGTAGAGCAGGTCAGCCATCAGTGCACTACTGCCACTGATGCAGCTGAGATCCAAGCAGATGGCTTTCTCTCTGTATTCCTTCATGTGGCACTCAAGGACCCCAACTGCTTTCCCAGCTTTTACTCTTGCTAATGCCTCCTGTTCTCCACCGCTCCTGTGATGGCAGTCCTTTGTTATACTGGGGAAGCAGGCTCTCCCTGCCCTTAATCCCGAATCACAGCCTTCTTCTCACTGCACTGCAAAGGCCTCCCACAACTCCCTCTAGTTGTGCCACTTTCTGGCTGGCAGGCTTCATTTCTTTTAAGCATGTCTGCGTTTGTGAAAAGTCCCAATTCAGTGCCTGGCCCACAGAGCAGGTGCTTGTCAGTGCTGGTCCACTGGTTCTAGCGGTGCCCAGATTACCCTCTGCCGGGCCCTCGGCGGCAGGATGGAGTAGGATTCCCGCCTCTGGACACCCTGTCATCCCAGCCCATGGGCCCCAGAGACATGTCACAGACAGATCACAGATGCCATGTGCAGGATTCACATTTATTGGTTCAAATACAGTACCTAACACTTGCTAAACATGCATTTCACACTAATTGGTCACATTCCACAGGTAGTGAGTTCACAGGACGGGGCGCACCCCTGCCAGCAGGCAGGTGTGGGAGGTAGCAGAGGGCCTGAGCAGCCTGCAGAGCCTGCCAACTGTCACTGAGTCATGCAGGGCTGGTGGCTGCTGGCCCTTTGGGAACAAGGGCTCAGAGACATCCTGCTTGCTCGATTCCTATGAAGGACTGTGGGTGGAGGTGCCACCGGAGCCCGAGGCTGCTATTTGTGGGAAGTGGCGCTCGCTATGCCTGGAGCACAGGAAGGGGACAGAGGCCTCGTGGAGGTGGTGGCTCGCCCCTGTCCCTCGCTGCAGGTGGGAAGGGCTCCCCACACAGCCCAGACATTACAATGCGGCCAGAGAGCCCCTATCGCAGCTCTGGGATGGCAACACAGACAAAATCACCAACAGCCCAGGGCAGGCGGGGCTTCTTTCCCGACAGAAACATGTAAACAGCGCGGGAGCTACATGATTCTTTTCCCACAGGATTCCTCAGTGAGGAATCGACCAGGATGTCACTCAAGAGGTAGTTTTTTTCCCCCATGGAAATCTGAGTCAACAACATCACTTATTACAAGACATTTCAGCAAAGAAAGCAATGGTCACCAAAGGGCAAAGCAGACCCTGTGGCCACAGGGCTGGCTTCACAACGTGAAGGACTGGCCTCCACCAGCAGCACATTTGTCTTGGACTCGGAGCAAGCTCTGGCTGTCCTCGGCTTTTTTCGAGCCTACAGTTGGTCCCTGAGCAAGCTCTGGCCTGTTTAGGGATGAGATACCCTGGAGGGCCGAGACAGCTTCTTGTAGGTAGAGAGGCAGGGCTACAATGGCTCGGAGCCCTGGCCTGCCCAGAGAGGCAGCCCCGACTTGCTCCCAAACTCAGCAAACTCCTGGGCTCCTGCCTCTGAGGAAACAGTCCAGGCCTGGCTCCTGAGCCCAGAAAGGATGTTGCTTATGACAGCCAAGAGGTGGGTTTCTGGGGACCCTGTAATTAAATACACATCCCTGAGCTGTGGCCCCAGGAAACACACTGGCCTCAAGGCTGACCAGCTTCTACCCAGCACCTGGTAAGACGATTGCCGCTTTTCATCCTGAGACACAGATAAAACATCATTTCACAGACACCGGCGTGGATGTTTCCAGCTGAGGGAGAGGGAGGATGGCCGCGGGCAGAGGCAGAGGGGTGTGTGGGGAGTTCTTGTGCACCGAGGTGGGGGAGTAGAGTCATGGTTCTTTTTGTTCCATTTTTCTATTCTTTTTTCTTTTTTTGTTTTCTTAGTTTGCCTTTTTTATTTTTTTTAAAGTTTTTAAAAAAAATCAGTAAGAAAAACAAACCCAAAGTTTAATAGGATTGGTTTGAAAGACTGCATTTCTTAAAAGAATTGCAAAAATTTAAGAAAAAAACAAAACAAAAAACCCCCCAAAAACCCAAAACAAAAACCCACATAGAATAGACCAAGGGCCCAAAGCTAAAGACTTGGAACCACCGCTTTGCCCCTGCCCTGCGGGGGCCAGGGCTCCTTCCTTCCCGCCAGCACTGGTCCTAGTGCAGCTGCTGCCTAGCTCTAGCATCCCACTTGCTAAGAAATCAAGAACTCATGAGCGCAGGTTATAGGTAGCAGAGAAGGCACTAGCCCGGCAGGCCAGGGATCCATGGACTGGTGACCTTACCTGCCGCAGGTGCTCTCTCCCTTGAGAAGTGGGGCAAGTCAGCGGCAGGTGGGTGAGGAGCTTCACCCTGGAGACCTCTGCTCTCCCCTGGCCTCCAGCTCTAGTTCTACCCCTAGAGGCCTGCTCACCTCATTTACAGGCTGGGCATGGGGACTGCCCATCCGCTGAGCCAAATGGAGTGCTTTGAGATAGCTCTAAGGAATTGCTCTGGACTAAGGGCAGGACCACCAAGCCTTGCAAAGGGCTCTGAAAGTCTACAAAGGGAGCCTGAATTCCAGATGAAGCTCCAAGATGGCAAAGTTTTATCATAGGTCAAGAAAATGTTCAAAAGGAAGGAAGGGGAAAGCCTGCATGCCTTGAAGTAGTACACGGAGGTGAGACTCTCCTTTCCGCACGACTTTCAGAGATATTTTTTATGGTGGAAAATTCACACAGTGAGTGTTGGGATCAGAAGGAGGACAGAAGGGAGAAGAATTAGACAATACACACAACTTTTTTCTTCTTCCACTAGCAAAAAGACTGCCTGTTAGCCAAACATTATGGGAAGGCAAAAACAAAACAAAACAAAAAAACAACCAAACATACCAAACCTCTCCCTCTAACCTTCCTCTGTGTCCTTCAAACCAAATTCACAAATACATCTGGTGGCTGACCTAATGTCTCCACGCTGCTAGCTATACTCCTACCTTCTCATCATAATACCTGAGTTTGCAATGCAACACATTCACTTTACCCTGTTTAAAAGAAGCCCACGTCATGAGAGGACTGGGTGCAGAAGACATTAAAGGCGGTCCACAGGTCAGGCTCTGGCTTGGAACACACAACCACTTGGCTCAGAGATTCTGCAGGGCTGTCGGCAATGAATGGGCTCTTTGTTCTGTGGAATCCGCTGCAAACATTTGTAAAAATGGATTTGTACAATGGCAACTTGCAGAACCTTTCCCCCACTCCACAAATTAACAACTTGCTCTGTTTAATACTACATTATCACAGAGACACGTTTCTGCCTCATCAGAGAGCAATTCCTTTAACATCCAAACACAACGGGTAAAATGCTAATGTGAAAAGCAATTTCAAAAAACAATAATTTGACAGATGGAGGTCTAAGCAAAGAAAGAGGCTGTACACAAGGAGCCGTCTTAGAGAAAGGGTCTCTGGTATGTGTCGCCTCCTAGATCTGAAGGAAAGCAGCTCAGAATCTGACCTGTAGCCAAAGAATGTGATCTAGTTGGTTAAATAAAAAATTCAAGCAAACAAGAAAAATAATGTGAACTTAAAAGACACACACACACACACACACACACACACACACACACACACACACTCCCTTTCTCTCTCTCTCTTCCACCGACATGAAAAACATGCTATTACCTGAGGAACAGGTCCTCTCTTTCTCAGAGCAGTTGGGGAATGGCAATGAGAATTAATACTCTGAGTTTTATATCCATCAAGGGACAAAATCATCACTTTGCTGGTACCCGTAACATTTCACCGAAAAGAAAAAAAATTACACAACACAGACTACCCAGTCTGCACAAAGATGTGGTAGCCCCCTGGGCAGGTTTACTATGTTGAGCTGGGGGACGGCAAAAGCCTTTGGCCAAAGAGGCTGAAGGAAGTAGCCCTGGAACTCTCCAGCCAGCAAGGGCTGCCCTCCGCTGAGGATGTCTGGGCCACTAGCCGCAGAAGGGTGTGAACTGGAGCCACTGCTGTATTAAGGCAGAGAAGGGTAAAGCACCTGAATTAGCTCCAAGACAAACCTGGGGCAGCCCTGGCAAAACCAAGAGGAGCAGGAACACTTGAGGGACTAGGTGGAGCAGGTAGTGACAGAACAAGGGTCCAGGCCGTATCAAGAGTGGCAGCGGCCAGGACCCTTAGGAACATGAGGTAGTTTAAAGCTCCCTTCCCTTTCAGGGGCTTCTGTTCCAGTCCTCCGGATCTCGCCATGCCAGGCCACTGATGACACTCAAAGGGGGGTAGCTGGGCTACTCCGAGCCTTGGGCTGTCTCTCCTGGGGTCCTGGCAAACTCAATCTTACTTTGGAAAGATGAGGACTTGGAAGAGAACTGAGGAATAAAATCTCTGGTCAGCAGATGTGCCCTTTCCACTTACAAAAGGAGACGGTAGTTTCAGTACAGCTCTAGGAGAGAAACAGGGAAATCCAAAGGGCATTTATTAAATACTCCTTGCCTTTGTCCCTCTACCAAGTGAAAAGGAGAATAAAGGAGAATAGATCAGTAGTAGGTACCAAGACTCAAAACATGGCTATCTGCTTGGTTTATCTAAGAGCTGAAAGAAAGGAAAATTTATGAGAGAGAGGGAAGGGGTCTGTAGAAGGTAGGGCTTAGTAAATCTATGTAAAGAAACTAGGTAGGTGTGAGTCCTAAGGGAGCTGTAGGCAAGGCCTACAGACTGGCAGTGGTGGGAAATAGGGAGCCTCTGCTTTTAAGACTCTTTGAGTGCAAGTATATCTGCCTTAGATTTGGCCACTGAGTCCTACTCTCAACTTTCATGCTTTCCAAGGAAGAAGGATGGCTGGCCCCTATCTCTGGCCCTGTTCCAAATGCCTGCTCACCCCCCACCACTTTGCCCCTTTGGTGTACTTTCACCTGACAAGTCTAGAAAAAGGCAGTTGCTCTCTGACAGACAAGTGTATGTCTGCTGAGAAAATGTGGAAGAAATAGGGATGGTCACACCCCCGCTTCCATTGAGGTAGTCGTCTTTGTCAACATCATGGAAATAGTCATCTCAGCTCGTTCCACACTCTCCCTCAAAATACAAAAGAACTATCTCTAAACAATGACAACACTGTAACATTAAACATCTTCACATTCTGTAAACTGCAAGGAAATGCATCTGCTGCATTCACACAAAAGCATGTGCATCATGTTGAAGGCCATACATTCAACTCTGTCGTGAAATAAATATATAGAAAAATGAGGTTAAACAAACAAACAAACAAACAAAAACTCTTCTTGCTATGGAGGCAGGACTCCACGGCATCCATCTTGGTCTCTCTGGCTCTCTTCTCTAGAGCCTGTCCTGAGGCGGGTGCAGGGCAGGTCATTCCTTGACCACATTTGTCTTGCAGGAGTGCAGCACCACTTTAAAGAGGAGGGGCAGCTGCTCCAAGGGCACATTCACCATCTTTCCTGGAAAAAAGGGAGGAGAGTGAGCAGTGGCCACTAGTGGAGGGCGAACCTGCTTCTACTTGGACTTGTGAAGGGAGAACATCTTGAGAGATTGGGGCAGGGTCATGCCAGGAACACGGTCGGGGTGAAATGAAGGCTTAATGAGGTCCTGATATTGCTCCTGTGCTCTCAGGAGACTAATGATGGAGCTATGCACTAGTATCTACAACTCTTACTCGATGCTGAGTATTATCTCATTTAACTTTTCCTAGTTCTCCCGGATATTACTTTTTTTTTTTTTTTGGTCGGTCGTGGGGCTTGAACTCTGGGCTTGGGCGCTATCCCTGTGCTCTTCAGCTCAAGGCGAGCACTCTACAGCTTGAGCCACAGCACCACTTCCGGTTTTCTAGTGGCTTACTGGAGATCAGAGTCTCACGGACTTTTCTGCCTGGGCTGGCTTTGAACCATGATCCTCAGATCTCAGCTTCCTGAGTAGCTAGGATTACGGGCGTGAGCCACCGGCGACCGGCTGATATTACTTTTTGCTCCCATTTTATAGACAGGGAATGTGAGTGGTCATCCTGCCAAGCTAAAATACCATACGAGACTCACAACGAATATAACTAGCTTTCTGTAAAGCACTGCTTTCCAAAAGCACTGAAGAAGAAAGGGGAGGAGTCATAGAGACAAATAAATCTGAGACACTCAGGGATAAAGGAGTTTTACAGGCTCTTTTCCCTGTCAGCTCCTGAGAGTCCGGGGAACAATTAACAAAGACTGATTCCAAATAATCCGACTATTTGGAGTTGCCACCCACACACTGATGTTTTCCAAAAGCTTTCCAGGTGACTTGCAAGTGCTGCCAGGTTGGGCCCACCTAAGCAATACTGCTCTGTGGCCCAAGAAAGAGAGGAAACAATTTCACATCCCCTTGTCAGAATGACAGTTTTTCCTGTAAAGCTGTATTGGTGAATTTTGCACAATTCCAGTCTAGCAGTCACCTTGGCAAACATGGAACAACTACAAACAGGACTCTTTACTATATGAAGCAAAGCAACAGCACGTAAAAGCCAAGATTCTTCATTGAAATGGACCTATTAAATCTCCAGAGCCTCAGAAGTGGCATAGGACCTCACAACACAGAGGTTTAAAGACACCAGTCCCTGAAAGCCTGTGAACAACACTATGAAATGAACTTCTCTCTTCAAGTGAAATGCAATTCATATATCATGTACTTCAGAAAATGAAGTTAATTTCAGATACTCTGAGCCTGTTTTTCTGTCCATAGAATGGCCATAATTATACCAGCCACCAGCTTTGCAGAGATTATTCTGAGACTGAATGATAATAAATCCCCAAAGGGTTTGCACATAAGAGGGGCATAAGAAATGTTAGCTTCTCTTCTCTTACAGAGAACAAAGACAAATGTAGTGGTGCCTGCCTGTAATTCCAGCTACTTGGGAGACTCAAATATGAGGGTCAATGCTTGAGGCTAGCCTGGAAAAAAAGTTGGCTAGACCCTACTAACAAAAAACAAAACAAAAAACAAAAGGGGCCAGTAGAGAGTACTTGCCTTGCACGCAAGAGGCCTTGGGTTCCATTTCTTAGCACCACATAAGCAAAAAAGCCAGAAGTGGCGCTGTGGCTCAAGTGGTAGAACACTAGCCTTGAGCTGAAGAGCTGAGGGACATTGTCCAGGCCCAGAGTTCGGACCCCACGACCAACAAAAACAAACAAACAAACAAGTTAATGGGCTAGGTATCATGGGCTTATTCCTTTAATCCTAGCTTAGTAGAAGTAAATATGAGGTAAAAGCTTGAAATATTATCAAAAAATTAATGACAGAAGCCAGGCAGCCATGACTCATACCTGTAATCTTAGCTACTCAGGAGGCTGAGATTTGAGGATCTAGGTTCAGTCAGCCTGGGCTCAAGTGGTAGAATGCTAGCCCTGAGCCCAATTGCTCAGGGACAGCACCTAGGCCCCAGACTGGCACAAAACAAAACAAAACAAAAAACACTACAGAAAAAAAAAAAAGGGCTGGGAGTGTGGCTCAGTGGTAGATTGTAGAGTGGCTGTCTAGTTCAAACCCTGGTACAAGAAACAAAATACACCCCCCCCTATAAAACAAATTTTCTGAGTGTTTCATGCAGTTGATGATGGGCCTGCAATGACCAGGAATCCTGCAAACACTGCCTCATTCCCTCTACCATGTAAGAGAAGCACAGGTTTAGGACCCGGATGTTACCTGCAATGTATCGAATCTCAGGTAAGCACATCATGAGATCAGGAAAGCGGTTTGGCTGATGCGTGTATTTATATTCAGTGAAATCCTGGCAAATGTACCAGTATCGCTTGTTCAACTGCTCCAGCTGTGAAGCACTGGTCAGACCCCTGATATCTGTAAAAACAACAACAGGGATGGGAGGGGCTTTTTGGTGTGGAAAAACACCAGCTTCTCGAAGATGTCCATCTTTCAATGAAGTGTTACTAAACACAGGCTCTTTTGTTTTCCTGATATGGAGAAATTAAGCTCTAAACATAGGAGAGAAATAAAACGGAAGAAAATATAAGTTTTCTCACTAGACTGAGCCCTTTAAGAACTAGGCTATCTTTCTCAACTTCACACCCAGCTACAAGTCTAGGACATGGCACAAAAGGCACCAGTAAAAGCAGAACAAATCTTTCTAACCTTACCCTTTACAATATTTTTCAATTTCCCCATTATAGCCAATAAGAAACCTTGCTGATAACTACACATTCAAATAACACACACACACACACACACACACACACACACACACACACACACACACACACACACACACACACACACACGATCTCCAATGTCCTCTGTGCCTCCTGTTTTTCGTAAGATGTCTTTGTTTAGCCCTCTATCTACTTATCTACTCACATGCTTTTAACATATTGGACATGAGTGAAAGTATTTTCTACATAAATCATACTTAAGGCCCAGCTCAAAATTCTCTTCCTGCAAGAGGCTGCTACCGATGTCCCGCAGCATGAAGCCCAGTTAATGTGCCACCCACCGTCAGTGTGTACCTCTTGGAAGACCTGGGCTCTCATTTTTTTCAACATGTACATTTAATGCCCAGCACAGGGCTTAGCTAAGGGAGATGAATGCACCAGTGGTGAAGAGGCAGAATGAGGAGGGGCCTGGCCAGTGGGGACGGTGGGGAAGAGTGGCACAGAGGAGGGGATCAAGAGTCTCTGGACTGTAAATAAGCACAGGGAAGAGAGCACTTTCAATGGCATAGGATACAGAACCGCCCCGTTCCACTCTGAATGTAGGGCACTCACACACTACTCTGGAGAGAAGAATACCAATTCTCCATCCTATACTGGTAACCAACCGCACCTAAGTGCCACTTTGTTAGTAATGTGCCCCATAAATCACATCTGGCAGTCTTCTAATGAAAACCCAGGCTTGCTATGTACGTATAACTTTGTGTGCATCACCACTCTTCCCTGCAGGGCGTCAGAGTCACTGCTGGCCTGTCACAGAACCTTATCTCCAACAGTTTCATCAGTCACTCTGCTCTTCAGTCGCTGGTAAACTTGGTACATATTTTAAATGACGCATGTACTGTCCTTGGTGTCTGGGTTTAAATGCACTAAAACTGACTAAACAAAGCAAATAGTTTTCCTTCCTTTATGAGTTATAGAGATTGTGGCATTTAGGTTTCAAAAAAAAAATCCAAAGTATTCCTTGCACTGTAAAGGGGAGAGTGATGGCGAGGGAGACTGGGGTTGTGTGGTGAGACCGTGCTGCTGGGAAGGGGAGAGTCAAACAGGATGGCAAATGCTCACTGCCAAAAACAAACAGCAAGAAGCCCTGGCCTCTACCCCGCAGCCACTCACCTTGATTTAGGAAGTTAATTGCTTTCATGCACGCGTACTCCTCATTGCTGACCTTTAGCTGATGGAACTTGTGGTAGAGGTAGATGAGCCGCTCAATCACCTCCACCCCTTCATCACTAAATCTGGGAAAGAGACACAGACTTTACCTAGAGGTTGTGATATAAGCAGAGGTCAGAAGAGGTGGAGAGCTCCTGTAGTTCACTCCTTTTAAAAAAGAGGCTGATCTGGGCTCCAGTGGCTCACACCTGTAATCCTAGCTATTCAGGAAAGTCTGGGAGACTCTTACCTTCAATTAACCACCAGAAAATAGGAAGTAAATGGGGTACAATGCTAACCTTGAGCAAAAGAGCTCAGGGACCGTGTCGAGGCCCTGAGTTCGAGCCCCACAACCAATAACAACATCAACATAAAAGTCCATGTAAACTGATATTCCCCAAGGTCAGGTAAAGTCAAGCAAATCCAGGTTCACGTCCAGCTCTGCCCTCGATTGCTGTGCAACTCTGAGACAGTCATTTGGGTTCCCTTAAGCTTTGAGAGTCTCCTCAATGTTTGCCTGCTTGGTCTACCCAAGAGCCAAAGGAGGTTTGGAATGTAAATGAGTAGAACTAGGACAACATTAAGACACTACTTCGTTGAGATGAGCCTCCCGTATCAAAGGCAGCTGCCATGGTGACTCTATGGGAGCCTCTGCCACAATGCTGAAAATGCTGCCAGCTGCATTTGTTTAGGTTCACTGTTTCCAGCAGGGCGCAGGTGATACAGACAATGAAAGATACTGGCATCCCTGACTTCACTCAAGGTGGGGAAGCAAAGGTGCTGAATCCACACCATGCTAGCGTTCGCTGGCACTTTTTGTGCCTTATGTCCTTCCAACTCTCAACTCCATGAGTCAGGTGAGGTATAGGTGAGAAACTCAAGTTCAAAGAGGGATCTGTTCCACCAGCCCACAGCTAGATGGTAGCAGAATTAGAATTTGGAACTTTGTGGGCTCCTTGAAGCATTGGTATTTCATCCCTATAGGGATGAGCCCTATAGGGGAACATGTTCCCTTCTCTGTACTAAAAGTGAGCTTCTTCGTGAAAGAACAAATGGTAGGCAAATGAGCCCCAAGTCAGATTATCCCAAGGACTAATGGTGAGTATGCTTTATACCAGAAGTAGAGTTACCTGGATGTTTGCTGATTTGAGCTATGACAGCTGACTCAAAACTCTGTGCCTGGCCCAATGGTGTTTACAATTAATAGTTTCCCAGATTGGATGACAGACAAATTCATATTGAATAACCACTCCAACAACCCTACTTGTCATTGTATCAAGTATTTCCCACAAACATTGTCTATTGACTACTTCCAATAAATCCTAAACTGTATATGCATGGTAATCACCTTGGTTTCTATCACTAAGTCCTTTCACATGCTTTCTTACAATTAAATCTCCCTATCACCCAGCAGAAAAAGAGGTGACATCACCTCAAAGTTACATTGAAGTTAGAAGTGCTGGGGGGAAGCTTTCTGATTTTGAGTCTAGCAGCCTTTCCAAGCACTACACTGTCCATGCTGGTCCTGTACATTTCTCAGTTCCAATCAGGAACTGAGAACCTCAGGAGTTCTGTGTTCCTGCAACATCCAGTCAAGGGCCTAGGCCTGACTGGGTGCCAGGGGCTCTGTGCTGCTGGATGTGAAGAACATTCCACATTTAGTACCTACTGGCTACCAGAGAAAGGGGCTTTATTATCTTGGAGGTGCGGGGATGAGACGAGGAGGAGGTGAGAGGAGAGCAGTACTGACATTCATCTGGTGGCCCAACAGTGTAGCAGGTAAAGATAATGCTATGTCCCTTAATCAGCCACTCCTTGCTCCCAAGTACTCCCTCTGGCACCACAAAATCTGCAGGTGTGTGGCTATCAGCCAGACACCAAGCCATCACTGCCAAACTCGTTCCTGGCTAAGTCTTGACCTGGGGACACAAAGCAGTTCTCAAGTACTTGGTTGTGCACATGCCCCAGATCTGCTCTCTTGGGGGCAGCACATCACAATGTTCCAAATTCCCTAAAACAGGCAACCATCATGAACCCCTGATACTGGTGGTGGTGGTGGGGTGGTGGGTAGGGCTTGGCAGAAGCCCAGAAGCCCCCACTCAGTCTTCACAGCTTGGCTACAAAGCTTCCCTCCACACCCACATCCCATCCCTTGATAAACAAAGTTATTCTCTGTTTCATGGGCCTGCCTTCTCCCTGCAGCCGTTCCTCCTCCACATCTGCCCACTCCACTGTTCTAACGCCCCTGTATTCTGTCTACAAATTATCAGCATTCAAAGCTATAAAGTTGGACAAACACACCCATTCTTCTTCTAGGTTCCTATCACACAAGCATGCTAGGACAAGGAAAACATTCCTGCCAGGATCCCCCAAACCACTGGAGCATTTAGTCAGCAATTGAAGCCGACATCGTGTAAGTTATATCCCATTAAGGGCCAGAGAGGCCCAGTTGTCCCCTTCCCATTCATCTAAATGTAGTCATCAGCTACAAGCTTCAAGGAAATGCTATCTTAGCATCCACACACTGACTTCAAGAGGGCAAGTCAGAATGCAGCTCCAGGATAAATTCTAGAAAGTCAACCCTTTTGGAGAAGGCTCTGGGAGAGTAAGAATTTAGTATAGGCTAGGTGCTGATGAGTCTCTAATCCTAGCTACTTGGGAGGCTGAGATCTGGGGACCATGGTTTGAAGCACCTGGACAGGAAAGTCTGAGACTTGTATCTGCAACTAACCACCTAAAAACCAGAAATGGCACAGTGGCTCAAAGTGGTAGAATGCTAGCCTTAAGCAAAAAACAAAAACAAAAAAAACCAAACTCAGGGACAGTGCCCAGTTCAAGCCCCATGACAGGCAAAATAATAATAATAATAACAAATATTATTATTAGGATAGTATAGGATAAACAGTGACGAGCCCAGGCTCTGGAACATAACAGACCTGGATGAGAGTAACACCATCTCTTTCTAGCTTTGTAACTCTGAGTTTTCATCTCTCTGACCTTAAGTTCCCTATCTCCAGAACAGGGCTCATATCAGCACCAATATCATATAAGGGCAGTGAGGACTCAAGAAGTAATATATGAGCCAGGCGCTGGTGGCTAAGGCCTATAATCCTAGCTACTCAGAAGCCTGAGATTTGAGGACTGTGGTTCGAGACCAGCCCGAGTAGAAAAGTCCAATGGGACTCTTACCTCCAATTAACTACTCAAAAATCAGAAGCGATACTGTGGCTCCAATGGTAGAGTGCTAGCCTTGAGCACAAAGAGGCTCAAGAATAGTGCCCAGGCTCAAGCCCCACAACTGACAAAAAAAAGTAGTATATGTAAGCTAGGTGTGGGGATCATGGCTGTAACCCCAGCACCTGGGGGGGCCAATGCAAATTTGACTGCAAATTTGAAGCTAGTCTGAACTACATAGAGGGACCCTGTCTCAACAAAACAGAACAAAACAAAGTCATATATTTTACTGAAGATAAAATTTGGTGCAGTAAATCTTCTATAATATTGGCATTACATATTATTAACTTCTGTTATTGAGACAAAAGAGAGAGAGAAAGAAAGAGAGTGAAAGAAAGAAAGGAAGGAAGGAAGGAAGAAAGAAAGAAAGCCAGCCTTTCCTGAGCCTTTCAGGGGACAGGCTGGAAGCTAGAGACAACTTTTAGAAGTTTGGTCAAAGGAAACCAATGCTCCTGAGACAGAAGTGCCCATTAAAGTCCATCTGGCTCAAAGTATCTTCTCTGGGGAGTGAAGGAGTGTTGATTAGGGCAGGAGCAGTCACTGGCTGGTGCTACAATCTGCTTTAAATCAAATTCGTCCAGCTCACTGTCTGATAATAGTCTGATTAAGGAATATGGGCCCCATAAATTTAACTCACTATTTGAGAAGAGAAAAGGAAATGGCCATGCATCATCTGGGAAAAACCTTTTCCTGATGGCAAACACTCACACTCAAGAGTTGTGAAGAAGGAAAGGCTGTGTGGGGGAGTGGGAGGAGCGCAGGCGCAAGCAAGGGAGGAAAGAGCTATGGCCAATTAGACTCCCACCCGGGCTTCAGCAGAGGGGGATGTTTGACAGTGATTAGCCTATAGCTTTCTGGTTGCACCTCAGACTCAAAGATACCCAAACTCTGCTCTTCCCAGTGACTTTATCTTGGCTAAGATAACTGGTGCCCACCTAGCCCCCTAACCCAGCAACCAACCATAACTTTTCCCACTCACAGAAGTCCTGCTGGCTTCATCTCTAGCTTTATGCCTTATCTTGTCTGTTTTACCTCACTGCTGCCAGGCCCAGGCCTTGTTGTATTTTACTTGACTACAGAACAGCCTCCAACTTTGTTAAGTGCTTTAGTGCTGTCCATAACCAACTATTCTCAGCCACAGAAATCTTCCTCAGCTGGGTGCCGGTGGCTCACGCCTGTAATCCTAGCTACTCAGGAGACTGAGATCTGAGGATCGCGGTTCAAAAGCCAGCCCGGACAGGAAAGGCTGTGAGATTCTTATCTCCAATAAACCACTAGAAAACTGGAAGTGGTGCTGTAGCTCAAGCGGTAGAGAGCTTGCCTTGAGCTGAAGAGTGCAGGAACAGCACCCAAGCCCAGAGTTCAAGCCCCACAACTGATTAAAAAAAAAAAAAAAGAAAGAAAGAAATTTTCCTCAAATGCAACCCATCCACGGGAGTCCTTACATACATGCTGATGGATCACACCTGCAATCCTAGCTACTTAGGAGGCTGAAATATTAAGGTTCTTAGTTTGAAGCCAGACAAGGCAGAGTAAGGCAGAAAAGTCCTTGGGATCCCATCTCCAAAACTAACAAGCAAAATACTGGGCTGGAGGCATAGCTCAAGTGCTAGAGAGCAAGCCAAGCAAGCATGAGGATCTGAGTTGAAACCCTGTACCAGCAATACAACAGTAGCAGCAACAAAACAACTTCCTATGACATGAACATTTACAAAATCACACGCAAATTCTGTCTTCTCTGTACTTTCATTTCTTGTCACTTCTCCCCTAATTTCTGCCTTTATCATATACTTCCTCTTCTCTCTTTGTAGTTCACAAGACCTCTCCTTTATCAATAGATGGACGCAGGGGTGCACACCTATCACAGTGAAAGACTGACTGTACTCCTAGCCTGGGCAGAAAAGCTCACAAGCCTATCTCAACAGAGGAAGCAGGGTGAGGTGGCATGCTGTCATCCCAGCTATGGTTGAAGCATGATCTAAGAAGAAGACTGTAGTCAAGGCTAGAGCCTGGAAAGAAAAATACTTTATCTCAAAAATTACAAGTGCAGGGCTGGGAAGTTGGCTCAGTGGTAGAGCACTTGCCTTGCATGCCTGAGACCCTGGGTTTGATTCCTCAGCACCACATAAACAAAAAAGAAAAAAACCTGGAAGTGGCGCTGTGACTCAAGTGGTAGAGCACTAGCCTTGAGCTGAAGAGCTGAGGGACAGTGTCCAGGCCCAGAGTTCAGGCCCCACGACCAGACCAAAAAAAAAAAAAAAAACAAGTGCAAAGGATGGAGGCATGAATCAGAGGGTACAGTGCATCTCAAAAAAGCACAGAAGCCAGGCGCTAGTGGTTCATGCTTGTAATTCTAGATACTTAAGAGGCTGAGATCTGAGGATTGTAGTTCAAAGCAAGCCCAGCCAGGAAGTCTGTGAGATTCCTATCTCCAATGTACTACTCAGAAAAGCCAGAAGTGGCACTGTGGCTCAAATGATAAAGCACTAGCCTTAAGTATAAAAGAAACTCAGGGACAGTGCCCAAGCCCTGAGTTCAAGCCCCAGGAGCTGAAAGAAGAAAAGAAGAAAAGAAAAGAGAAGAGAGAAGAGAAGAGAAGAGAAGCACAAGGCATTAAATTCAAACAAAAACTAAACAAAACCAAAGAAGGGAAAAGAGAAAATTCCCATTTCAAGATGCAGCTCAAATACCTGTTCCTGTGGTAATGGCTTCCTCAAATTCTCTGAGGAGAGCCCTTGCTCCCTCGTCTGTGCTGTCTAGTCCTTCATACAACTACTAAGACGACCCTGGGCTGTATGTGAGGGGGTCAGAAGGCTTCTATTTGCTTATTTGTTCTAAACTAAACAACAGAACACTGACCACATTTATCTGGCATGGTGGTGCATGTCTGTAATAATTTCTTGGGAAGATGAGGTGGAAGATTTCAAGTTAGAGGTTAACCTCTGCAACTTGGGAAGACACTGTCTCAAAATAAAATGGAAAAGGGCTGAGGATGTTAGCTCAGTGACAGTGAGTAATGGCCTAATATGTATAAGGACCTGGGTTTAATCTCTAGTACTACAAACAAACAAGCAAGCAAGTAATGATGTCTGCATCATCTGCAATACCAGCAACACTTGCTCCGCCTGTCCTGAAACACACAACGGATGCTCAAAAAATGGCCATGGCAGGTCTAGCATATTGAAGTTTAACTCTTATTTTTCCACTGATGGGCTCCATAGAAGAGTGAGAATCCAAACAACAAACCCATTTCTTATTCTCAAAACATTTTCTCAGAAGCAACATGGTAGATAACTTTCTATAAAGATGATGTCTGATATTTGCACTGAACAATGTAGTAGTTAGTAGCCACATGTGGCTACTGAAACACTTGAAATGTGGCTAGTGCAAATGAAGAACTGGACTTTTAAATTAATGTACAAAGTCACATGAGGGTAATGACTATTACTCTATTAGCAGTTTTAGATCATCCTAACTCAGCTGGTACTGGCCCCTGCCTTGATCTTGGGGCTGAGGTTGATAGCGTTCTCAAAACAGCACTGCACTACCAGCGCTCCCTGACTACCTGCAGAAGGGGCCCAGGAAGACACAGCAGGCTACAAGGAACAGAGCTCAAAGGCTGACTCTGAAGACAGTCACAGACTAAACTAGGAAAGTCCAGGTAGTGAGTTGGGGCTCCTTCAGCTAGTTCTGCAAACTTCAACATCAGAGCAGGCTGCTTGCTATCTGAACATCTTCTCAGCCCATAGTGACAGAGCTGGAAACAGAAATTTGATGGAAACAATAAATTAGAGATTCTAGTCACAGGGTTAGGTCACCTACAAAATTAGCTTTGTTTACAAGACTGTCAGCTGGGTTAAAAACTGTCTTTATAGATCATCCTGAAGGCAGGAAACATCATTAAGAAGGAAATATTAGAAAACCAAGGAAGACCCACACTCCCCTGGCTCAGCTGAGCAAAGGGGCCTTAAAGGCCTCATTATCTTGTTTTGATGCCATGATGACTGGGTGGAAGGAGGAGATGCACTCTAGTCTTGTGAAGGGAGCTATGGCATTCTACCCTCTCTAGCATTTCTTCTTTCCTCCTGAGTGCCCTAAAATCCTCTGATTTTTGTTATTTTAAGCTGCATAGCAGGTGGTTTACTGAAGTGTATGTAAATATGAATTAAGGTATAAAGATATTTCGTATGACTAAATTAATAAATCAGAAAAGCAGTCAGCTCATTTACCATGATTTAGGGGTCAGAAAACACAGTTTCCAAACAGTGCTTGGATAGGTCATGGAAGCAGCGAGGAAGAGAGAACATTCTAGAGTGGGAGGTTAAAAAAGGATGCTAGTCAGCCTGGCTCTGGTAGAACACCTGTTCAGGCTTAATCTCTCTACACCTCAGATGTCTGGAAGAACTGAAGCACAGAAATCAGGCAGATGTATGCTCAAATCTAGGTTCTAGATCCAAATCTAAAAACCCTCAAGAGATAGCTCTCCATTTTTTTTTCTTTCATGAAATAGGCACAATGGCACATCCTGGAAGCTGTGAGAAAGAATACTATAAAGTATCTAGCCTAGCGCCTGACATATAGCAGGTAACAGAATGATTTCTAGGTCTTTTGGGTTGTAAACTTCAATTTAGACCCTCCTACCTTGGAGGCAGTTTAAACACATTATCTATGCCACTAATCCAGACAGCTTAGTGCTATGCTAAGTTTGACAACATTTATTCCTTCCTTGTTGAGGAGGTACTGTTATCATCTTATTTTGTAGATTCAGAACCTGAAAATCAGAGACTTGGCCAGTGCACAAAGCTAGTTAGTGGCAGCCTGTATAGTTTAATGCCCATTGTTTAGAGGACCAGGTAAGCCCACCTTGCAAGGGATGACACTGGTTTGGTTGCTTGTGATTTCCTCCCTAGCCAGAAGCCCTCACCTGTGTAGTTCTTCATCAGAGGGTGAGTACTTGGCAGTGACATCAGCCAGCTCCCCAAAGATCTGTTTGCTGTAAACTGTGAGGGACGATAGCAGGATTAACTCCTGCCACGTAGAGCTCAAGAGGCACGTGTAATCCTTGATTGAGAGCTCGCAGAAGAAAGGCAGCTTCTTGATCCAAGCAATCTGCCTAAAGAGCAGCTCATCAGCCAGGCGGCAAAGCAGGGCAAACAGCTCGGCCTGTGTCACAGCATATCTGGGGGTATGACAGGAGAAAGCCACTTCCATTAGTCAGAGGGTACTCTTGAGGGCACTATGTCCTTGTGGGCCCTTTGCCCTTGACCCAAGATTTCTGGTTCATTAAAACTCGATTTTCTTATTAAAGGGTAGGACTAAAGTCAGCAGCAAAAGCTCAGGGTCAGTTCTGGTGATAAAAGATTGTTGAGAGGAAAAGCAGCTTAAACATCTGTAAAACTTATCAAAGAATATGACTCAAGGCATTCCATGTCTTAAAAGAGATCCCTAGTCACTTGGTTTGGCCCTACTTTTAGCAATAAAAATTCCTATGGGGTAGACCTGGTTCCTACTCAATACTGGGACCAGAATAAAAATGAGCTTTGTGGTGTGGCTCAGGTGGTAGAGCACTTGTCTGCAAGCATTAGACCCTCAAGTTCAATCCATCACATGCCCAGCCTCCCCATCCCAAATGTTGACTGAATAGTCAGTCTCAATAGACCAAGTTTTCCTGTTCTCACTGCACCCCCTGGTGGTAACTTCAGGAAGAGTTGCTCAGCCCTTCCTTTAAGCTATAGCTGGATGGAAGAAACAGAACTTTTCTTAGCTCTGGCCTAAAGGGGGCTTCTGAAGTAACAAACTCAAGGCAGGGGAGGACAGTTTTCTTTTCAAGGTCCTTTTCACCATTTACTCAGACATTAATATATAAAGGCTTTGTGTGACCTTTTGAATAGATATCTGAGTCCCTTATTCTGACATTGGAGTCTAGCTTAAGGATTTCAGGATACCTTCAGGGAGATCAAATATTTCAAGACCTTATGCTCGAGGCCCAAGAAGGAATGGATGCAGCAATGGGTGGCTGAACTATAATCTAGTCAGGTAGAGCTGAGTGCAGACTGAGAACTTCTTCTACCCACTCAGGCCTGCACTTAAGGTACTCACATGCCACCAGGCTACGCATGGATATGTTGGCTAGAGATGCCAATAGGTCACACCAGGTAGGGCCATGAATGTTCTGTTAAGACGTCTAGACTTGATGTAGAATTATTCCCAGAATTAAAGCTCATCTGTGACACAGAAGTACTCAGACCCATCCCAGCGACTGGTCTACCTAGACCCACACAAAAACAAAGGCTCTTAAATCCCAATTCCATCGGCACTGAAAAGTAACCCCAATTCCTCAAGGAAAGATGCTTAAGGAAATAATGAGATTACCACTTTTCAAAGATGAGCACATATTTGTTCTATGATGCTTAAGTCATCACTATCTCCTCTACTCATTCAAAGCCTGAAGTATGAAAATGGGGCAGAAAAGGCACATTTTGAGATTGTAAGGGGTCAAGCAGGGCAGAGCTCACTCACCCATCTTCAATCAACATGGGCGTGCCCAATGGCTCCAGGTCCTCTGCTGACATCAGCTGGTGAATCAGACTGTATGACTGGGGGTCTAAGCTGCGAGCTTGTTGGGGCAGAAGCGGTGAGTGGCCAGAATAGCTAAAAAGGTGTGGTATGTATTGATAATGGGGAGGCACAGACATGCCCATATACTGATCCCTGAATGTCATGAATCCATTTAGTTCCACAGACCTACTGGAGAGAAAAATCTCATGTTAGTCAAAGCCATGTCAGGTCTAGTGCTTACTCAAAGGAAACATGCTAGAAGGTAGCTTAAACATTGTTTGACTATTAAGTTTATGTCTCATCAAGCCATTAGACATATTCCATTCTCACCTATGAGAAAAATCATAACTAGCTAACTCAGGATCTTCCAGGACAAATAGATATCAACTAAATATTAGCTGGATGAATTTTTACAAATACTAATCTAAGGCGATTTTAATTTATACTTGCAGTGGTGTCTTTTGTCACCACTAATGATGACAGAAGTGTTTGTATTATTTTTCTGCTAGGAAAATGTTAAGTCAGGTATTGGGTTTGTTTTGTAGCCTGACATAAAACCTAGCACCTAGCAAGGAATATAGTATGTGTCTTACCTAAGTCTTTTTTTTTTTTTTTTTGCTGGTTGTGGGGCCTGAACTCTGGGCCTGGGCACTGTCCCTGAGCTCTTCAGCTCAAGACTAGCGCCCTAATACTTGAGCCACAGCACCACCTCCAGCATTTTCTGCTTATGTGGTGCTGAGGAACTGAACCCAGGGCCCCATGCATGCAAGGCAAGCACTCTACCACTGAGCCACCTTTCCAGCCCCGTGTCCCTAAGTCTTTATCTCTTCAGAGGAGGAAGCCAACCAAGGAACAGCTGAACAGAATAAAAACCTAAAATCGAAGGGGGAGGGTGGAATGTTGAAGGGGGTGACACTGATCAAGATGCATTGCATTTATAAACTTCTTTGTTAAGTGGCATCTCCTTTGTACAGCTACTTAAAGATAATAAAAATTAAAACCTAAAATTAAATATGAAGAAAGCAGATTCTTCTCTGCCTCTTCTTTCTTGAAGAAATCTAATTATGCTGTCCATTAATTCAATAAATTCTCTAGGCCAGGTGCCGATAGTGTACATTCATCTTCTTACTCAGGAGGCTGAGATCTGGGGATTGTGGTTTGAGACAAGCATATACAGGAAGTCTATGAGATGCCTTGAGTAAACAAACAAACAAAAAAAAAAGGTCCAGGCCTTGAGTTTAAGCCCCAGGACCAGCACAAACAAACAAACACACACACACAAAAACTAGCTTTTACCTAGTGCTGTTTCCTATGACTGAGTTACAAGTTAGGCAAATGATGCTTATAGGTCAAATCTAGCCCATAAATCTGATTTGATAAAGTTCTACTAGAACACTGCTTTGCAGTACTAAAAGCAGAGTTGAGGATCTGAGACTCAAACCACTGAGACTGCAAAGAATGAAATATTTACTATATGGATCTTACAGAAAAAAGTTTTTTCTGTCCTAGTCCTGTAAGAAAGATTTCTGGGGAAAAAAAGCCTTCTTTGGTAGCTGAAAGCACTATCTATTTCACATCTGACAACTAACTGAAAGTAACATGGTTGGACCAAGAGCCTCTAAATTTGTATTTCCCGATAGCAGACTTGGCTGGCTTAAGATAAAACAAAACAAAAACTTCATTATCCATTAAAATTTTTAAAGACACTGATTCTTTTGAGTCAGAAAAATTGTAACTTAATTCAGTACTGTCAGTGTGATTTGCTTTATTTCAGTGATAAAATGAGGGACCCGATGCCCAGAATTATAAAGGAAAAGTGCTATATTAAATGGCTGCATAGACGCTGTTGTTCTTTATTGCTTTATAGAAGAGACCACTGCCATTTTCAGTCTTTAGTAAATAATGTTGGCAAACCTGGCTTTACACCCCCCCTGGCCCCTATTCCAAAAGTTGTGGGAGCAAGGGCATGGTAGCTGAGAACGCCTGGCAGCATTTCTCCACAAGAGATGGATGGTCCCTAGTTGGACATTGCAGGTTTCCAGAAAGCTCACCTGGAGGACAGCGTGGAGCCTGGTGAGGGCTGGTTGCTCTCTGAAGCCCTATTCCCAGGGGAACTGTGGTCACTGTCACCATGGTTGCTCCAGTGATTGGTTTCTTCCTCAAACTCCTGTCCAGACATGATCCTTTCAATCTCTTCTTCAGATATCTTTGATAAGGAATAGATGTATGTTAGACTGGATGCTTCTTTAGGTCTGATAATTTACTTAGATCTTGTAAGAGTCCCAGGACTCTTTAGGGGAGAAACCCAGGTTTCTCCTCTATCCTCTACTCCAGGTCTCTCACTACTCTTACAGCTTGGTTCCTGCCTTCTCCTTGCCCAATGACCCTACTTTCCTGTGAAGGCTAAGGCTATATGTCCCTCATACTCCTCTTTGTCCTCAGGTCTCAATGACTCCTTTGTAAAGCTTCTTATCACTACACTAAGACAGAATTTTAAGTCCTTCTTCTATCCACCCAAGATTCTCGGTATCCTAGAAGAGGAAAAACAGCACAGTGACAAGGATATAAACTCTAGATCTTGATTACTTTTTTCCAAATGCAGGTTCTTCCACTTACAGGTTGTTTTCTTTTTTGTCGGTCGTCGGGCTTAAACTCTGGGCTTGGGCACTGACCCTGCACTCTTTAGCTCAAGGCCAGCGTTCTACTGCTTGAACTACAGCGCCACTTCCGGTTTTTCTAATGGTCTATTGGAGGTAAAAGTCTCATGGACTGTCCTGCCCAGGCTGGCTTTGAACAGTGATCCTCAGATCTCAGCTTCCTGAGTTGCTAGGATTACAGGCATGAGTCACCAGCGCCTGGCTACCACTTACAGTTGTATGATCTTAGGGCTGTAGTTGGCTCAAGTGATAGAGAGCCTGCCCAGCAAGTGCAAGGCCCATTACCACCAAAAACAAAAACAAAACAAAAAACTAAAGTTGTATCATCTTTAAGACATTTAATTACTTGAACCTAAATTCCTTCATTAGTACAACAGATTAATAGGCATCTCCAAGGACTCTTGCGAGGATTAGTGTGTGTGTGTGTGTATATGTGTGTATATATATATATATATATATGTATATATGTGTATATATATATGTATATGTTTGTATATGTATATATATATATATCAAATACTCAGGAAAGAGCTCAGCACATATCAATACTGAGAGAGCTGACAATAACATCTATGTATCTATGTATATTTTTGCTTTTATTTATTTTTTTGACATAGGGTTTTGCTATGTTGCCATGCTGGTCTTGAACTCCTAGGTTCAAACAATCCTCCCATTTTAGCTTTCTGAGTAGCTGGGACCATAGGCATGTATCACCAAATTTTTTTTTGGGGGGGTCACTATTACAGAGCTTATGGTAACATATCACAAAAGAATATCCTCTATAAGACGTAAGGTCACGCTGGGCACAGGTGGCTCACGCCTGTAATCCTAGCTACTAAGGAGGCTGAGATCTGAGGATCGTGGTTCAAATGAAGCCAGCCCAAGCAGAAAAGCCCGTGAGATTCTGATCTCCAACAAACCACTAGAAAACCGGAAGTGGTGCTGTGGCTCAAGAGGTAGAGCACTCACTTTGAGCTGAAGAGCACAGGAACAGCGCCCAGGCCCAGAGTTCAAGTCCCATGACCGACAAAAAAAAAAAAATAAAATAAAAATAAATAAATAAAGACTTTGGTCACGATGGAACCTAGGAAAGAGAAAGTACATTTGCATATTTTTAAAGAAAGAATGACATTCTGAATTTGATTAAAATAAAGGTTTAAGAAACTGTAACCCACCTAACTGAACTGACTTGCGTAAGGTCACACTGCATGCCCATATCTGGGCAAGAGTTTGGGGGAGTACTCAGTTCAGTACTCTTTATAATACAGTGAATAAACTTCTACAAAAGGCCTAATGTAGGTCTGGGACCTAACTGTGTATACACAGCATACAGAGACTAAATGCTAAAAAGGGGGGCCAGCTGAATTTCCATGTGTTGTGCTTATAGAAACCTAAGAGAGTATCTTCTCTAAATTTGTGTGACTCAAACCTACATACTCTTTGGCTCCAATGGCCTCAGAAGGACACTTTTAGAATGACCAAAGAGTCATAACAAAGGGACATTCAGAATTGGATGCCAGCTAGCATATAGGATGTGGGAGGGGAAACAAAAAACTTTCTATTGGCGGTATATAAATTGAGTGGTTGATCTGAAATCATTTGGTTTAAATATTAAATTGGAGGGATTGTTTTAAAAAAGCTTCTTAAAACTCTGAAATCATTGTTTGCATTCCCGGAGGGAGGAGGAGTGTGAACACCAGAGTATAGAGGGGATAAAAAGATTTGGGCTGGGTGAAAAGAGGCACTTTATTCCAGCTGGGAGCTATACCTGTTTTTCCTGTGGGTCTAAAAGGACACTGGGAAATAATTAATGCATTGAATAAAGGACAGAACCTGTTGGGAGTACTTAATTCTGGGTTCAAATTTCACTCATCATTTCTTATCACCCCAACTTTCTGAACCTTGGCTCCCTCATCTGTAAGATGGAGACAGTATCATCTCTTCAGTTCTCCTGTAGGACACTAGAGTGAAAAAGAGCTCACAGGTCTGAGTCAGACCTTGGAAGATTAATTCAAGATAAAAGTTATAAAAAAAAAAGGCACAGAATAGTGCTCAACCAAGTCTATCTTTTCATGTTTTTATTACTAAAAACAGTAAGCACAATTAAAAAGCTATAGATCACAGTGCTTTCTGCTCAATATCTATAAGGAGTTAAAGACTAAAAGGGTATATCCAGGATCAAAAAGTCAAATGCAATGACAGGTGAAATATGTCTTTCTGAGGCTCAGTGCCTGCAATTCTACAGACCATACAGTCTGGGGATACAGTAAACTAAAGAACATCAGGCACATGAGGTAGGTCACACAGGACACTTGAAAGAATTAAATACTATTGACAAGAGTTTTTTTTTTTTTTTTTGGCCAGTCATGGGACTTGAACTCAGTGCCTGAGTATTTTCCCTAAGCTCAAAGCTAGTGCTCACTTTCTCTGAGCTCAAGGCTAGTGCTCTATCACCTCTAGTCACAGCTCCATTTCCCATTTTCTGGTGGTTAATTGAGATAAGAGTCTCACGGACTTTCCTTCCTGGGCTGGCTTTGAACTGTGATCCTCAGATCTCAGCCTCTTGAGTAGTTAGGATCACAGGCGTGAGCCACCAACACCCAGTGCAAGATTTTTTTTCACTTAAGTATTTAAAGATTCTTCCCACTAGATAATATTCTACTGCATATAAAAAACAAAATAAAGCTGGGCACTGGTGGCGCTGTAGAGCGCTAGCCTTGAGCTGAAGAGCTGAGTGACAGCACCCAGGCTGAGTTCAAGCCCCACAAGCAACCAAAAAAAAAAAAAAAAAGAATGAGATATAGACCATATGTGAAAAGCCCAAAGCTCTTATATCAAGAACTGAAAGCTTTTCCTAGACCAAGAGGGTGCTCACACAGAACTTCTTCTATTCAATTGAGGGGGGCCCATAGTTGTGGGGTGTAGCAATGGAAGGAAGAGAACAAAGTTGTAAGAAAAAAATGCTCATCTTTTCCATAAGTGGCCTGATACTACATATAGGAAACTCTAAAAATTCTACAAAAATACCTATTAGCACTAACAAAATCAGCAAAGTTGCAAAATCAAAATCAAGAGAGAGGGCTGGGAAGGTGGCTCAGTGGTAGAGCGCTTGCCTTGCATGCATGAGGCCCTGGGTTCGATTCCTCAGCACCACATAACCAAAAAGAAAAAAGCCAGAAGTGGCGCTGTGGCTCAAGTGGTAGAGCACTAGCCTTGAGCTGAAGAGCTGAGGGACAGCACACAGGCCCAGAGTTCAGCCCCCCCCCAAAAAAAAAGAAAAATCAAGAGAGAAAAATTATCTTTAAATTATCAATATACAACCCAAAAAGGAAATTAAAAAAGCAATTCCATTTAGAATCACATCAAAGAGAGCAGCAAGAGGATGATAGAGTTGCACACTGAAAACTGTACAGCACTGCTGAAAGAAATTAAGCCATAAACGTGTTTATAGACTGGAAAAATATTGTTAAAATGTACATATTATCCTTGGAAACATATTGTTAAAAGGTACCTATTATCCTGAACGACCTACAGATTCAGTGCAATTCCTATCAAAATCCTAATGACATTCCCTTCCCCCTCCCCCTACTTTTTTTGGTCAGTTGTATGGCTTGAACTCAGGGCCTGGGCATTGGCCCTGAGACTTATATAACTGTAACATCACCCTTACAATAATAAAAGTCTCATGGGGACTTTTCTGCCGGGGCTGACTTTGAACTGAGATCTTCACACCTCAGTCTCTTGAGTAGCCAGGATTATAGGTATGAGCTAACCGGTGCCCTACTTTCTTTCATGAATTCTATAGGGAGGGGAGTTTCACATTACCTTTCCATACATGTTTACCAGCAATTCCCTCAAACTCACCCCCTCGCTACCACTCTTTCTTGCTCCCTTTCCCCCAAAACAATTTTAACAGGTTACAATGTTTTATTATCATAGTTGTAAATAGTCTTTCATGGTATTCAACCTCCTTCACCCTCCTTTTTAGTCCAACTTCCTCCTAATCTTACCTACCAACCAAATGAGTCTATTTCTTAGCACTCTCATTCCCCTTTTGATCAACAGCTTTCATTGAGATTCTTTATTCCGTTTTCATATACACTTGCAATCTATTACAAAATTCTTCACCCTCTTACTAGCATAAGAAAAGATACACGGACCAGTGGGGGGAAAAAAGAGTCCAGAAATATACTCATAAATACATGAACTGATCTTCAACAAACGTGCTAAGACTATACAATGGGAAAATACTAGTCTCTCTAACAATTAGTGCTGCAGAAATTACATTCACATGCAAGAAAATAATTCACCTTTTCTTATAAAAATCAACTGAAAATGGATTAAAGACTAAAATATAAGACCTGAAACTATAAAATTCTTCCTATTTTTTTGGTCAGTTGCAGGGCCTGAATTCTGGGCCTGGGCACTGTCCCTCAGCACTTCAGCTCAAGGTTAGTGCTCCACCAGTTGAGCCATTGAGCCACTTCTGGCTTTTTCTACCTATGTGGTGCTAAGGAATTGAACCGAGGGCCTAATGCATGCAAGGCAAGTACTCTACCCCTGAGCCAACTTCCCAGCCCCTATAAAATTCTTAGAGGAAAAGTTTATAACATTGACCTTGGAAAAGACTTTATGGATTTAATACCCAAAGGTCCTTTTACAGTCTTTGTAGGATAAATAAAAGATGTTTAGCTTCCCACCCTAGCTAATTCTTCCTTCTTCAAATCTCAGTTCAGATTTTACCTGATTGAAGAATCTTACCCTGATTATTTCCAGTCAGCAAACAGAATCTCTACCCCTCGACGGTAGTCCTTTGTCCTGCACTCCCTGAGCATCTTCTGTTATATCTCAGAGGACTATGATGTCTCTTTACAAATATGACACCCCCCACCAGACTGAGTTCTGGGATTTGAGTGAGGTTTTACTATTCCTACTCTACATAAAGTAATGAACATGCTGCTGACACATCTTTGGATGAAATGGGCAAAAGTAATCTTGCTAAGTAACCAGGCCAAGCTATCCACAACCTTAAATGATCAAGGAAAAATCCCCTGGATGGGTCAGAATCATAATTGAATTCACTGTGAGATCTTTGGGTTGAGGATCGCAAGAAGAGCTTTTACCATTAACTTATACATTTAAACTTTTAAGGAATTTTCACACCCAAGCTCTAAAAGAAGTTTTGCAGGAATGAAAGCAAAGATACTGTCCCCTCCCTTTAGCAGCAGAAGAAAGGGTATTGTACAGTAGCTATTATTGGAGCATCTTGATGTCCTTAGTATTTAGGATAGATGAAGGGAACAGGGCCCAGAACTCACCTGGACTGGCCCGATGCTTTTATTCCGGCCTCCAGGCATGCCATCTTCTCTGATAGCTGGAGAGAAAATAAGACAGTCAGAACAAATTTCCAGAAGTGTATGCACAAAAAAGAGAACTTAGTTGGTTAAAAGTATAAGACAAGTAAATGGTGAAGCCAAGACTAACACAAAGGTCTTTCTGAACTCTTTCTATTATTGCAAGCTATGTAATAGGCAGTAGATACTTTCTAACCCCAAAGTACTGAGTACATACTATATATACTATATAATACATTCAATATGCTCAAAATAGATGAACCATTGTTGACTAGTCCCACAGTTACAAAGACCCCACCAAGATGACTCATCTGAAGGTTTTGGTAAATTCCAGGGAGAAATAGAGACTATTTAGAGAATATTTTTATTTATTTATTTATATTTATTTTTTGCTGGTCCTGGGCTTGAACTCAGGGCCTGGGCACTGTCTCTGAGTATCTTTGTGCTCAAGGCTAGTGCTTTACCACTTGAGCCACAGCACCACTTCTAGCTTTTTCTATGTAGTTTATTGAAGATAAGAGTCTCATGGACTTTTTGCCCAAGCTGACTTCGAGCTGTGGTCCTCAGATTTCAGTCTCCTGAGGAGCTAGGAGCTAGGATTATAGGCGTGAGCCATTGGTGCCCAGCTAATATTTTCATTTAAATTAAGTACTTATGACTCCTGGTCTAGGTTTAGGTCT